AGTTGCAGGTGTTTTTTCTGGTTTGTGGGGAGTTCTGAGTTCTGAGCATCGCCAGTTTTTCTGCTATAAAATGGGTATTCTGTGTTGCCTACAACAGTCTCTTCATTATACCAATGTGTCCCTGGGCACAAAAAGACTGGGGACATCTGCTTTAGATCACATTCTTTATATAGCCAGCATGCTACTGCATGATGTTTGCAGTTATTTTACTTTAGGGAAGTTTTTAATAACTGATGTTTTAATGTATTTTTAGTCTTTTGTTGGAAGCCGCCCAGGGTATAAATTATTATTATTATTATTATTATTATTATTATTATTATTATTATTATTATTATTATTATTTTAGTCTATTGCAAAATCACAAATGGCTGTTTTTTCCATATATTATTTATGTACATGGTTCTTCCTAGTATTTTATTTATATGGATCATACATCAATGTGTAAATTGTTACTTTGTATCCCTACTTGTCTTGAGGTTGTTGTTTTTTAAGTTCTAAGCAGGTTGAAGGTGCAGGACCTTGATGACCCGGTCACTCTGAAAGGGGCTTGTATGTGTATTCACATCCTCCCTATAGTCAGGAACCGTGCATGATCAACGCAGCACAAACTAAGCCTCCTGGTGTATATTTTGCTCAAGGTTGCTTAGTTTGGTCAGAATCAAGTATATATTCCCAGAGTTAACTCTAAATATATTACATCTGGTAAATGAGTCACCATAGCTGCTAGAGGGCCATGAAAATTTGTGTCCGGGCTTTCTAGATTCATCTAGAAAGCCCTTCACGGCCTAGGACCCTCATACCTACGGGATCGCCTCTCCTGGTATGCCCCACGGAGAGCCTCAAGGTCCATAAATAGCAACACCCTAGTGGTCCCGGGCCCTAAGGAAGTTAGATTAGCTTCAACCAGAGCCAGGGCCTTTTCAACTGTTGCTCCGGCCTGGTGGAACGCTCTGCCTCATGAGACCAGGGCCCTGCAGGATCTGATTTCTTTCCGCAGGGCCTGTAAGACAGAGTTGTTCCACCTGGCCTTTGGCTTGGAGCCAATTTGATTCCCTCCCTCTCTTTCTTGTTTCTTTTTCCTTTCTCCTCCTGTGATGAGGCTGTATTTTAATATTTTAATGTTTCAATATTTTAATTGTTGTATTTTAATCTTGTTTTTAAGTTGTATTCATTCAACTTGTTTTTATTATTGCTTGTTAGCTGCCTTGAACCCGGCCTTGGCTGGGGAGGGTGGGGTATAAATAAAAATTATTATTATTATTATTATTATTATTATTATTATTATTATTATTTATCTACTGATATACTATTTGAAACCAAAGGAGCACATTGGTTGCCAGATGTGTGTTGTTTTTTTCCATTTCTCCTACCCTACTACATAAACCTTCCATTCACATACATCCCCCACACTGCTCATTCATAAAGATCTATTCACACACACCCATACATCCACAGTGGGTGGAAAGCAGGGCAAGACCAATCCAGCCAATCACAGCCCACAGTGCATGGGTATGGAACCACACTTCCTTGCAATATTCTCTCTCTCTCTCTCTCTCTCTCTCTCTCTCTCACACACACACACACACACACACACTGTTCAGCTGATCTATGAGAAACAGCTGAGAAGCAAGGACTACGGGGTGAGGCAGGGGGTCTAGGATGTTAGAAGAGGCTGGTAACAGAATGGGAAGGGCTTGGTAGGATGCATCTGGTTTGCAAGCTGGTGATTGTGCCTGTCACCTAAGGAAGCTGGCACTCAGATCTGTCACTGTCTCTGAGGCTAGACTACCTCACAGCACCATCTAGAGCAGCCTTTCTCAACCTGTGGGTCCCCACATGCTGTTAAACTACAACTCCCTCCACCTCTAACTAGTAAGGCCAGAGCTCAGGGATGATGGGAGTTGTAGTCCAACAACATCTGGGGACCTACAGGTTGAGAACCACTGGTCTAGAATATAGCATGGGATAACCTTGTGTATGCTACCCCAAGTTTTTTGAAAGAAGAGTGAGACACAAGCTTATGAAAAGAATACCACCACCACCACCGCAAATAATTTTTGGAAGGGACACTATCTGTTCTCAACGCTGCTGTGGCAACTCATCACTAAGGTAGAGAACAAACAAGCAGGGTTGGGGAAAGCATTTCAAAGTTGTGTTGTCACCACAGAAAAGTCCCTGTCCCTAGTCACCATTCACTTAATCTTGGGTGGCGGGTTGTGTTGAATCAGAGACCACCCTCTGCTGCTGATCTCAGCTGATAAGCATATTACAGTGGTACCTCAGGTTACATACGCTTCAGGTTACAGACTCCGCTAACCCAGAAATAGTGCTTCAGGTTAAGAACTTTGCTTCAGGATGAGAACAGAAATTGTGCTCCGGCGGCGCGACAGCAGCAGGAGGCCCCATTAGCTAAAGCGGTGCTTCAGGTTAAGAACAGTTTCAGGTTAAGAACGGACCTCCGGAATGAATTAAGTTCTTAACCCACTGTATCTGGGTGCATAATTACCCAGTTCCTGAGCTATATGGGCTCCTAATGGTTAAAATCAGCACTTTGAATTGTGCCAAGGAACAGACAGGAAGTGCTGATGGCAAGACTGGCAAGATGTGTCCTGAGCAGCCAGCCTTTGTGAGTAGTCCAGTTGCTATGTTCTCAACCAATGAGGGTTAGAGTCATAGAATTGTAGAGTTGGAAGGGACCACGAGGGTCATCTAGTCCTTTGATGCAGGAATCTTTTTGCCAATCGTTGGGCTCGAACCCATGACCCTGAGATTAAGAGCCTCACACTCTATCAAAGGCAATTCAGTGCTTTGAATAACTCTTTGACCCAACCCATGACGAGCAGAAGCAGAATGAGTTATTGAAAATAAACAAATTAAAGCCCTATTTGGGCATTCAGAAACAAACACAATGATCACGTGTGGGAGGAGAGTAGGCTCAGGTTTTCAGCCAATGGTGAAAGCCTGTTTGAGCCCCAATGTAAACAAGCTCTCAATTTGTTGGCAGTCTCAGGGAGGGGCCAGCATGGAGCACAACAAGAGTGGGGGAGTCAGTGAGGGTCCTCCCCCTGTCTCACACAATTATCAGTGATTGTTTTTGAACACCTAAAAAAGGTTACAGGTGCACTTTATTATTTAGATAACGTATTTAGACCGAAGAGTTTAGCAGCTACTTTGGCATAGATTTGTTTTATTGTGTTATTTGCATGCAGAGTATCCTCAGCCTTGTCTCTGTACTGCTTTTCTGCACCATCTTATATGCTGCTTTGAGGCCTGGTTGGAGATGCAGCATTACTGCATGTGGATCATTTCTTTGGGGCGAGGGACTAATGTAGTCAATGTGGCAGAGGACAGTGGCTCCAATCCACTTTTTAAGCTGTGTGATTCTACTTTCTCTATGCAGCACAAGTGACTGCTATTTACAGTGGTACCTCAGGTTACATACGCTTCAGGTTACAGACTCCGCTAACCCAGAAATAGTACCTCGGGTTAAGAACTTTGCTTCAGGATGAGAACAGAAAACGTGCTCCGGCGGCGCGGCGGCAGCGGGAGGCCCCATTAGCTAAAGTGGTGCTTCAGGTTAAGAACAGTTTCAGGTTGAGAACGGACCTCCAGAACGAATTAAGTACGTAACCAGAGGTACCACTGTATTTTTAAGCTGTGTGATTCTACTTTCTCTGCACAGCACAAGCAACTGCTATTTATTATCAGCAACGACACTTTATGTACATTGGAATGAAAAGGAAGAACTGGAAGACACATGCTGCAGCATCCAAAAATAAACAAAAGCTTGAAGGCTTCTCAAGGTGGCAATCAAGGTGTGCACACTGAAGTGATCCCCCTGAAGTCAGTGGGGCTTACTTCTCAGTAGGCATGCATACACTTTTGTTGTAAGAGATAACTTTTAAATATTAGAAAGGGTTCTACATGCCTGGCCAACATGAGCAACTGTTTCCATCAAAGCCACAATAACTACTTTAGCAGAAAAAAACATAAAAACATAAAATACAAAAATGAATGTTTCACCAGCTTCAGAACTCCATTTAAACTATGTTGTATTTGTGTAACAAAACTCCTACATTGTATCTTCTTTCTTTTAAAAAAAAGTAAATGTATCTATTCATTAAGGTTAGGTTTCTCTCCCCTGGAGTATTTGAAAGTAATATAACGATGCTGTATAAGTCACAGTTCATCCAACATCAGTGACAAAACTCCTGCTGCAGATTTCAAACTTTGCCAAAATTCTTATGATAAAGCTACAACAAAACTGCAATAATTCTAATTGTAGTATAATGCTTATAATATCTACATACATTAACAATATTTTTTAAATTTAAAGATCTCTTGAAACATTGACACCACTTTCCCCCTCTTTCAAGGTACCTAAAATCTTTTTTTTAAGGCAATTAATGTATCTTCATAGTCAGATTTTATAATTTTATATCTTTGGCATATTCTTTAGATCTACTGTCATGCCGCTAATTTCTACCTGCATTTATGTTTTAAAAAGCAATTGGGCATTTCTGGAAGAAGGATTCCTTCTTACACCATTTTCAAAAGAAACGTCACGACTGCTTCATGTTGTTTTTATATTTTTTAAAAAGCTCATTCTCTAAATTAGCTGTTTTATTCTTCTGAAAACATAACCCCCATCACAAAACTGCAACGTGGTAATTACAAACTTACTACGGATGGAGCTCTGCCTGCAGCTAATTGAAAGTAAGGCTACAATTCCTACCCACTGAAATCAGTGGGACTCAATGCAATGGATTAGGTTGCGATCCTATTTCATAACCCGCTTCTTTCCCTTCCCCACCAAAGAGAGGGAGCCCACAGCAAACATGCAAACAATTCCAAACTCTGGAAGCGTTCAGAAAGTATTTTTAGGTTGCATTTAGGCTGCACTTATCGGCGACTAAATGGCAAAGTGGGGCAAGTAACCCAGTCAAACATCAGCAGGAATGCGCTGTTGATGAGATGAGTTGAGGGGGAGACACACTCACCTACAGAAGGGATGCCCTGGGCATCTTGGCGCTGTTGCCGCAAGGACCGTCAGGACAATCCCAGCCCGCGAGAATCCGGCTCCAGGTGCTTCGCTTTCGACTTTCCGACGGAGCGGCGCCCGCTCAGCGCGCGGGGATCTGCCTCTGGCCAGCGCCTCGTGTCGCTGTGCGCGCAGCGAGCGAGCGGAGATGGCGGAAGGGGCGGGCAAGGGGCGGCACCGCGCCGTCCAGGCAGGAGGACGGACACCGCGCCGTCCATCTGCTCTGTCCGTCCCACCTCGCCGCGGGAAGCAGCAGCAGCGCCACAAGCTCTTGGGAACTGACGGAGGACAGAGGCGAGGAGACTTGGGGGGTCGGGGTGCTCCGACGGCCAAGCGGCGAACGCGCACAGACGCACGACGTGGAGTTCGCTGGTGGTTCTCCGTGCTACAGTCCCCCTTTCTTTTCTTAGAGGATCAGGCCGGGGCCGGTTCCCTCAGTGTGGAGGCGTCGCCCCCTTGCAGTCCTTGTCCTTTGGTCTCCCCCCTGAACGCCCGGAAGGAGCCCCATGGAGCCCTGCGAGACCTCTTGTAAATATATATTTGTATACACTGTCGCACAACACAGTACCATTTTTAAAACCCCCTATGAATTCCCTGAATCCTTGCTTTTTTATACGCTGCTAGTTTTATGCTGTGTTTAGTTTTAAATGCATTGTTTGTTGCTTTTACTTTGTATACCGCTTAGATATTTAAAACATTTTAGGCGGTTCATAAATGTTTTAAAATAAATAAACCGCAGTGGGGATCTATGGGAGCAATCAAACAATGATTTTTTTGGGGGGGGTTGAAGGGACCACCCCACAAAAAAAAAACACCCTCTACAATTTGGGCGCCTGTATTCCAAAGGTAGGGAAGAGGGTTTAGGATGTGGATCCCTCTGTTGGAAGAAAATGTAAGGAGAGCCCAGGGCATGTATTGATAATGAACCCTGTTGAGACCCTGGGAGCTGTCCATGGATGCTGGGTGCTGATTGCTGCCCTATTCAGCATGCCAGTTACTCCCGTATGCAGATCTCTAGAGGTAGCAACTCCCATTGGTTCCTCCTTCCCTTTAATAGTTCTCCAGAACAGATTTCATTCACTGCTTTTTTTCATTATTCTTTTTGTACCATTTGTGGTACCTTCAAGATGTTTTTGCTGGTCTCCCAAATCCTGTCTTCCCTCACCATTAGGCTTTCTGGTTAGGACTAAGGCTCCATTCACATGACAGTTTATTTCATTTCCCCAGTGTTTCACTGTTAATTTCTGTATTATATCTGAGCTCTCACATGGTGCAAAAGCCATTTTTGAAAATCTAGTGCAAGTTTAGGGCTCGGTTCCATGTTAATTGGTTCTAGAAATAATATATTTGCAACTCTACCAACTCAGAAAATCATGAAAGTGACAAAATTTAGGGAGCTATGTTGACATACAGTTCTTTCCTGCCATTTTTGTGGATGATTTGTGAGGAAACAGAAGCTCGCACATGCAGAAAGCGTGGGGGATTAGTGACGTTGTCCAGTGATGTTCATTGTGGTGCTGTGCCACACTCACTGTTTTGAATGGCATCAGTGAAAGAGCCACTGCAACAGGTCCTGTGAAAGTAATGTTAGAAAACGTGGCAGACATGCTAGCATTATAATCCGGGAAAGTAATGCAATATTCACCACATGCAAATGTACCCTAATAAAAGTCCAAGAACACCTGGAGTAACAGGTTCTGTACCCTTGTTGTACATGGTGTTAGGTTTCACTTCCTAGAACTGCTTTCCCAAGCTGGTGCCCCCCCCAGATGTTTTAGACTACAACTCCCACCAGCCTGACCATTGATTGTGTCTGCTGAGGCTCATGGGAACTGTAGTCCTAAACATCTGGAAGGCACCAGGTTGGGGAAGGCTGGCCTAAAGCCTTGTTGTTGCTGCTGCTGCATCTGTGAACAGAAGAAATTTAAGAACTGTAAAATCCCACACGTGCTGCAGCTGATCCGATTATAAACAGAATGAAACATTGTATGCTCTATCTGTGCAGGGAAGAGCTTGTTCTTGCAGCACAGTCTCTTTTCCTCTCTCTCTAAGTTCATGTCATTCATCAAGGAAAAAGACAGCTGTGACACCCCCTGGTTGGGAGGGGGGGAGAAAGCCCTCCAGTGATATTGAGCTTGTCCCAGCTACCAGCAAAATAGAGCAAAGCTGTATGTCATGTCATTTTTCAAAAGTAGCATTAAAAAAAAATGCATTACCAACTAGCATCCCCTCCCTGACCCACTTGCAGTCCTGGGTGGATTAACTTGTTTATCGATGGATTATCTATGATTCTGTGTTTGCCTCTTTTTTCTCTTGGAACCTCACAAAGGTTGGATGTTGGACGCAGGAGAGGAGAAAGGCTCAACAGCATTGAAATATGGCTTCCTTTAGCCCTCTGGGGTGGTCTCTGGGGGTAGGGGGGAGCTTCACCTGTTCCTTTGACTCCCTAATCCATCTATGTATCACAATTACATAGGGCAGGAGAGAGAGAGACAGAGAATTAGAAAGAGTGTATTGGTGGAGCCATTCTGATACTGGTATTTACTGGTTCATTCCTAGACAACTCCTAGCAGTGATGCAGGCATGAGGGTGGGGTGGGGATCAAACAACATACTTTCTCCGGTGGGTCAGATTGCTGCTCACAACTATGGCATAGCCTGCCTCATATAACCAACATGCTCAGGTCTAATTAATACATGAAGGGGTTAAGACCATGTCCTGCCAGGCTCACCTCACCTTGAGAGGAACTAAGTAAATCAAGCCTTTGTTCACCTTCAAGTCTACCAGAGGACTGCAATGCATGAGGAGGTCTGAACTGATTGCTGCAGCTCAGACCACATGGCTCTTATAAGCCACTCTTGAGTTCTTATACCAATCATTTACCAACTTTCACCACCATAACTAACCCAGCACTGAAGGGATGTGCTGCTTTCAGACTTCTGAAGAAGAAGAAAAGCGCTGGTATAGCCTCATTTTAAGTTATGGCAGATTGTAAGGGAAATGAAAGTCTGGTTCCTGAAGGCTCTAGTACTTAACAAGATTTATATTCCAATATGCTTGTTCATCCTTGAACTACGCTCTTTTTCTTATATGCAGCGCAGTCTATATTATTAGTTGCTTTTGGAGAATGATTACAATATTCAGTAGCCTGAAAGGTACATCCTTCAGTAACAATCTGTAGGATACTGAACCAGAAATATTATTAAAATAGATAATAAAAATGTCTGAAATAGTCACTTTCTTGAATAGCTTCCTGAGGAATGAGACATTCGTGATGTTGGGAGGTTGCTACCTGAATCCCACTTCCCTTGGAATTGAACCATACAGTATCTTATGATGTATATTTTGCCCTAGAAGGCTTAGTTTGGTCAGAATCAAGTATACACTTCCAGAGTTAATGTTAAATACATTATTTCTGGTAAATGAGCCACAATAGCCACCAGAGGGCCATGGAAATTTGGTCCCGGGCTTTTTAGACTCATCAACATGAGTTTGACCAAACTGCGGGAGCCAGTGGAAGACAGGAGTGCATGGCGTGCTCTGGTCCATGGGATCACGAAGAGTAGGACATGACTAAACGATTAAACAACAACAACTCGTGTACTATCTGAAACCAAAGGGGTGCTTTGGTTGCCAGGTGCGGAATATATTGGCATTATCTTCAGCTCTCCTATCCCACTATTAATAGTCTGACTATAAGGCAACTTTCTTTGTTCCTAGTGATTAGCAAATTTCAGACAGTCACAAAGGGTACCTAGAATGTGTGCAGATATAATTTGGCCATCAGATCATATACCTTATTCTGATGATGATGATGATGATATGATATGATATGATATGATATGATATGATATGATATGATATGATATGATATATTATTTATACCACACCCATCTGGCTGGGTTTCCCAGCCACCCTGGGCAACTCCCAACAGATTAAAAACAGAATAAAACATCAAACATTAAAAGCTTTCCTAAACAGGGCTGCCTTCAGATGTCTTCTAAAAGTCAGATAGTTGTTTATTTCCTTGACATCTGATGGGAGGGCATTCCACAGGGAGGGCACCACTACCGACAAGGCCCTCTGCCTGGTTCCCTGTAACCTCACACATCTCACAGTGAGGGAACTGCCAGAAGGCCCTTGACACTGGACCTCAGCGTCTGGGCTGAGCAATGGGGTGGAGACGCTCCTTCAGGTATACTGGGCCGAGGCCGTTTAGGGCTTTAAAGGTCAGCACCAACACTTTGAATTGTGCTCAGAAACATACTGGAAGCCGATGTAGGTCTTTCAGAACCGGTGTTATATGGTCTTGGCAGCCACTCCCAGTCACCAGTCTAGCTGCCTCATTCTGGATTAGTTGTAGTTTCCGGGTCACCTTCAAAGGTAGCCCCACGTAGAGTGTGTTGCAATAGTCCAAGGGCCTTCACATTTTTGTTTGGCTTCATTTAAAATACGCCATTATTCTGAAACCTTATTTAATATCCTTCCAGAAAAAGAATCAAGGGTATAAAGATAAAAGATAGTCAGACTGATTAACCTTGAATAAAAAAATAATCCTCCAAACACAAGGCATCTAGAGGATTGGATATAGATACAGCCAGTTTCCAAAGTCCCCAGTAAAAGTTAATGCAAATCAATGTCTGCAGTGGTCTTCAATGTCATGCTGATTTGATTTATAGTCACATAATAACTGATGAAATAAAATGTATTATCCTCAGTGTCTGTCTGAATGAAATATGTAAAGAATTCTCACTCACTGGGTGAACAATGCCACAGAGTAATTATCTGTCACTTGCTACTTGAGGAGTGAAGAATTCTTAATTGTGGTTGTAATTCTGAACCCAGTTAGTCATATTTCATTCTACTGAAATCAAGGCACTTACTCACATAAAACACTAGGTGCAGCGTTTCACTAAGAATCCCTCCAAGTGTCTCCTTTGTGTGCATTTGACTTGTGGTCATGAATCAGATTTTCAACACTTTTTGTACCTGCAAAAACTTTGGGGGGGACATAATGCTTTGTTTCCAATCTGCACATGTCCCATAGGTTTCTGCTGAAATCCTGTAACTTTTATACAAACATGGGGCAGTGGTAGTAACTTGTCCTGCTTTTGTTGGGCTATAGAGTGCTCCTCCAGGTGGCATTGAT